TTTCGTTACATGACTCCATCTGTAACATAGTGACTATAGGACCAGTTTGATAGAACACAATTTGATACCATATATATAATTAGGGGATCCCCGCTCCATCTCGCCATCAGTTTGGGGGTCCTTGGCCTGGATAATGTTGAAAACTCCTGCCTTAGTGTTTAGAAACAGCTAAATTTGAGCTGTCTTTCTTAAATTACAATATGTTTACATGGACACCTTCAGGTCTGTTTTGCTCAGAACCAACACTCCTCTTTGTTTTGTTTTTTACGAAGGCAAAGGTACTACATTTCTTCTGTGGCTATTGTAGGAAAATACAGAAACTCTGATTATCTCAGAGTGCTTCTCTTAAAATAAAGTCAGATAAATGTACATCATGATCAGATTAATTGTATATTTAGATTTTTTTTTTTCAATCTGAACAAGGAATTTTGTATGAAACGTCTGCCCAATATTGGAGTTTCTGACTTTTAGGTCGGTGAAATTTAAAATCATTAGATTCTAGTCAGCTGATTTATCTGAGCATTTCAACTTATATAAAACGTCGTCTGAGGACTGAGAAGTCGAGTTTTTCTCTGTCCTCAGGTGACTTCTACTGTCGAAATGCAATGTTTAGGGATAAACTCCCTCAGCTTTATAATTTAACAGTTCCACCCCATAAACATTTGATAAGTCTGTTTCTGAACGTCAGCTGACTTCCCCCTGAGACCAAAGACTTCTTAACTTAATACTCGGTCTCTCTCTGACGCTTCACATCATTAGTGCTCTCAACAATCCCTAATTGAAAATGAAACCTTCCCTTTGAGTCTGACACTACGCGTCAATCAGCCGATTCAGAGAGTGGAGATGGATCCAGGCAGAAGGAGATAATGGACTTAATAATGTGCCTAAAAAGTGTCAAAAACAGAGAGCGGATGTGTTGATGGTTTACCTGAGAGAGATGCATGTGGCGACTGAGACAACGTCTTCATGCATTCAGTAAATCCATTTAAATGTATTCACCGAGCACATTTAAAACACAGCAAAGCGGCGTACATTAAGGAGATTAAAGAAGGGAAAAACACCCATAGAAAAATGAATCCACTGAATTTCACATTTGAAAATTACATGTGCAACACATATAAGGAATGTACAGTTAACATGTGATCCACATGTAAAAGCACATGTATACATGTGTATTTTAGAGTTTCATGTTAAAAAAGCAACACAAACATGTAAACTACACATGAAAAACACTGGAATAACATGTGTATCATTTAAAATTTATATGTGAGTCACATCTGAAAGCATTTGGGTCAAATGTAGGAAATATAAATGATTTAATTTCCCTTTGGGATTAATGAAGAATTTTTGAATTGAATTGAATTAAATTTTTACTTTTACTTTTAACTCATATGTGTATTGCATGTAATGCACATGTGAGTCCCATGCAAAGACATGGGAATCAAACATGATTCACATTTTTTCCACACACCATACACCCACATGGGATGTGTTTCAAATAAGATTCTAATAGGAATCACATACATTCTTCAAATGGGAATCTAATGTGATTCACATGTTATATACATATGTGATACACATGCATTTCAAAGGCGATTCACATGTGCTTCAAATGGGAATCTAATGTGATACATTTGTGATACACATGTATTTCAAACGCGATTCACATGTGCTTCAAATGGGAATCTAATGTGATACATTTGTGATACACATGTATTTCAAACGCGATTCACATGTGCTTCAAATGGGAATCTAATGTGATACATATGTGATACACATGTATTTCAAACGCGATTCACATGTGCTTCAAATGGGAATCTAATGTGATACATATGTGATACACATGTATTT